CTGCTCGGATTTGGCAAGGCGAACAAAAGATCGACTTCAGGAAATTCATCGTCGAGTCGGATACAAAGACGCTCCCACTCACACAAAGATTGCGTTCTTGGACATGCACGTGTATACATGTACATGTGCATGTACACACTGTACATGCACGTGTCATGCACAGTGTACATGTACATGATTATACACAATCGACCAATGGCCAGAGAACGGGACAAGTTCCCGCATATGTGTATCTGCTCTCGCCGGTTCCGACTAGTCTCGCATCTGGAGCGCCATCGGGTGGCGTGCTCTTTCTCTCTCTCTGCTGCCCCTCCGGGGCCCACGTGACCCTAGTGGTAGTGGCTCTACAGGACAGGACAGGACAGGATTATACACAATCACAGTAACAGTACTAACACGCGCATGAACTCACCCTGTCGTCAGCGAATATTCTGTTCAGCAACCGGGATAATGTACTTTATCATTGTTGTTTTTCAGGCGGCAAAGGGGGGGAACAGCCGGGGGGGACCAGCCGGGGGGGGGGGGGGGGACCAGCCGGGGGGGGGGGAGCCTAGGGCCGAGGATGACGTCAATGCTCAAGAGTCCACATACGCCAATACTGTCATTTGTGTGCTCTTTCTCCTAGGCTATAATAATTATACATGTACTAGCGATACATCAAGGGTGTGGATTTCTTGGACCACGGTGGTGTGGATGTACAGCAGAGGTAGAACAAACAAGTGGTTGGTACGCCTCCATGATGTAAGGAGACCATCCGCAACGATGGCCAGTGATTCTAGGAGTATCCGATTCCAAAGATTGAGTAAAGTAGGATTCACGCGAGTGACCATGAAAATGTACGTGTAGTATGCGACGCAGCACTCAACACGGGCAATGACCATGTCGGCCTTAACCAAGATGGCAGACAGTAGACGTTGTATTCTGCCCATACGTGTACGTTACGTGAACATCCAGTCTCTAGCAAGTCGTCGAAGCACACCCATGATTCCCTCAATCAAGGGACAATGGATACTGTTTCTTCCGCCATGCATGTACAATGTACATGGGCCATCAACACAAGGATGAGTGACTGAACCTGCGATCATAGTGCCGGCACATGTACTCATGTACATGTAGAACTGAGTGAGTGTTCAGGATTTTCAAGGGAAGCAATGAAAGAACAAGGTGCCGAATCTCTTTCCGCTTTTCCTTCCAACGAGTTCTATTACGTTGCGGATAGCCGACACACACCAAGCAGCTTTGTCACCTGGCCAAACATGGACACAGTGCGAAGCAAATAGGCCGATCTCTACATGGCATCCCTCCAGCCTAGGCATTTCTTTATCCACATACCAAACATGCATGAACCTTACCAGAAATAGTACCGAATTCTGCCAATTTTTCTGCCGGCATTATCCGCAAAGGCCTACTCCAGCCAGTTATACAGTAAAACCTTTAACTAAAGACCACCGTGACCAGCGACCAGCCTGGTACATGACTGTACTTCCGACCATTTCGCCAGGCACGGACTGTCTCACATTCAAATTGCTCTGTAACTTGCGACTACCTGCTGAACACGACCAGCGATCGCCTTTTTTGTCCCAAAGACGATGTTTGACCCGTAACTAGAGACCGCGATGGAGGCAATCAAATGTTGCTTGAAGCTCCTTCTTGAAACTTTGCTCCCCTAGAATAGAGGGGGTCAGAATCGGGTCTAACATCCAAACGGTTCCGATGGTCGCAACCGACCAGGGCTCTACCAACCGTGAATGATTGTAGAAAGGTCACTGTTTCTGAACACGGTGTCCTCCACCTTGTTACTTGCTGTCAGCCAACAACATGCCAGGCAACTTGTGTGACCCCTACCCTTAGTTCTCTCAGTTTCTAGTGTTGTCTGTTTCTTGCCTTCTGTGCCAGAGCTGTACATGTATGTGAGGAAAAAGAAACATTTCTAAAACCAAGGAACTACAAGTTATACTATAATGTCCACTAACACCACCAGTTACTAAACAATCAGCTCATGCGATAACATTGCACAACACTGACCGACGGTACTGACGTTCTACAACTAACTGGCTAACAGCTCTAGCACATCTCGTGGTGTTAGTGGACATTATAGTTCCTTGGTCCTTTTTACTTTTTATAAGTATTCCTTGGCTCTCCACCCGAGTTCATTAAATTTTCTCAAACCGTCTTCGATTCTGCATATACTTAGACAGCACTGACTTGAATACGCTTTCTCTTCTAAATATGACGGGGTATGGTGTTAGGTGGTTGTAGTATAGCCACTGTTTCCAAACACGGCGGTCCTGCACCTTGTAGCATACTGTCAACCAACAACACTGACTGCACATGTAGCGTTAGTAACGGTACAGGGCGACATCAGAATGAAACAGAGCATCAACACGTATGGCAGGTAAACGGCAGTGAATTTGTAATTTTGTAAGATTTATTGTTTAAGGATTCCCCAAAGGCTTTCGCCTATCGAGGGGGTTTCCAAACTTTCCATACTACCAAATCTGTAAAAGACGTGACGAGCAATAGGTGAGCAAAGAAAGAGAAAAAGACATAGTCTAGGGCAGAGGGAAAAACGAAATACACATACATGAAAGCAAGCACGCACGCACACAGCCACAAACAAAATCATATTGCTGGCCGCTGCTTTTCAAGTTGCACCATTTCAAGTTATTAAACCACATATACACTGTACATGTATTATAAACGAGTTATGAAGCAACTATCCACAACTGTAACAAGATAATAAACAGTCAGAAAGTGCGATAACAGGGCACAAAACTGACATGTTACTGAGACATTCGTGTCATTTCTTTTGTTTTGCTTTGAATTAATGTAAAGTTTTGCACTTGTGCCAACATTCCTCACCGGCATGTAATATATAATGGCTATTTTGAAGTTGTATTTTCCTTTCAGGAGTAGGATTGGGAGATGAGGGAACAAACTATTGCCAGCATACCCGCTGAATATCTCGCTGGTACGGCAATGATTTCGGGTAAGATGTGAATGAAACTTCTAACCTTAGATCAAGGCGAGACTTGCACCAGTACACCCACACATCACCCCCCCCCCCCCCCCCCACACACACACACACACATCAGACACATTCTGAGGAAATTGTACTAAGTTCACAAACTCTGAGGCTCGGAAACTGAGCGTTGGGAACCCCGAGCCACTGCTGTGAGGCTACCAACAACCTCAGCTATGAAGGATAGCTACGACACACTGGGCTCTCAAGATGAAAATGGTCCAGCTTCTAAATGCTTTGGTAAGATGGCAGCCGTTCAATAGTTTGGCCACATACACTCACGCGCGCGCACAAGCGCACGCATGAACGAACACACACACACATACATACACATGTAACACACACAGTCATATACATACACAAGTAACACACACAAGCACACACACGCACACACACACACAGGCGCACAGAAACACACACGCACACAGGCACACGCATACACACAAAGGCGAACACACATAATGAGGCTGGCCTCAAGCAAAGGTCCCTGGTTTGAGTGCTGGTGGAAACAGTCGATTTGTTTCTTTAGACCTTTCCCTATTCAACTCCCTCAACTGATGAACAATGGGGTACTCTTTGCCATTTAATTTCCTCACAGCTAGACTTTACATCACCAACACTGCAAGGTACCACGGTATACGAATTAGTGGACCTACAAACATTATAAGCGCCCGCTTTGCCAATGACGTGTACCGAGCAGCTACGTGAAGCTGCCTGCAAATTTATCCAGCTCTAAGGAAGTCGTTCTTGTTTTCTGTTTTGCAGACACTTTAAAAACTTTCCCCTCTGTTCCTCTCTTGATCCTCCTTCACCGTTGCAAGAACTCTTACACACACGTGACACTCTCACACCAACTCTGCTGAAAGCTTCACAAATTGTATAATATCGAGTACCGATGGATACATCCACAGCCATATTCTGTGAGACAGAACGCCAAGAATAATGTCACAGGGAGGGTGAAACACAACCTAGCACGATGATGATCACCAGTAGGCAAATGTACTGGATGGAGCAGCTACACAACCTAACACGTATTATTATAAATCAGAGTCGATTCAGAGGATCACCAAATACCACAGCCGGACACAAGGATCCTCCATCTCTTGCTTTGGGTTCCTGCTAGCTGGTCTTCAACGGCAAGACACGGTGGAAGCTCTACGGCTTTTGGTCTCTTATTTATAGACCAAACCAACTGCACCATCATACGCAACTGGCTGGTGACGATAACGAGAATCGAAAAAGCAGGAAAGTATATCTCTGAAAATGGATTTATCCTTTATTCCATCTTTCCATCTGTTTAGCTCTTTTCCTCTCGAGCCAGTTCCTACATTCCCTTGTTGCCATCTCAATATCATAGATGTATGAATGGATAAATGTTGGGGGCAGACATTGCAAACTCCACGAAATCCTTTATAATAACGGAGAGATTTCCCACACTTTCTGTGCACCATTTCAAACGCCAAGAGATTGAATAGTGAACGATAATGACATGCCAGCCACTCCCAGCACGCAACGAAGAGTTGGGACATGTTCATAATCATCTGCATGAGAGCGTATCTAACCAAACATGAGTTTGAGAGGACGAACCATAAGAAACTCCAATCAGACCTTCAGCAAATCTAGTTCAATGAGATGATCGAAAAATAATCTTCCTTGTGCTATTTTGCAACCCATTCAGAGTCGTTGTGAGGTTCAGTAGTTGTTCTCGCATTGATGTTTAAGATTATTTCCCTCCTAGTGTTCTTTCTGTTGACAAATACGTTTGAAAACATCACTGCCAGCTCTACTATGGAGATGAATTGCAGATGTATTGCTAGATTCGAATGAAGGCTTAGTGGAACCGTTACCGTTTGCCAAGCAAGATGCTACGCAGAGTCCGCTATTCATCTATGGCGCGAAAATACCCTCCCCACAGAGGGCACACGCACACACAATACCCATGGACATAATGACAGACATGCCACTTCCTGAAACTTACCCCAGCCATTGACGTCCGTGATGGATCGTTTCTCGAACCTCCCACCGGTAACATTGTCGTCGGAAGTCTGCACCAGATGTCAACTGTCGGTAGTGGCTCAATAGCGACACACTGCTGAGCATTGGCTTGGCACCGGCGCGCTGATTTACTTGTAGCTTGTCCAACGAAGGCGATCCGCAGACTGCCGGGTGATGGGAAGGCACGACAAATGTTTTACACGGCAAGTATTCACCTGCCCTTTATATTACTAATTCGTGTGATGTGATTGGACAGGAAGAATCCGTGGCTTGTGGCGGAGCCAAGAAGCGGGGTTCAACACAATCCGACTGCAATGTTGTGGCGAAGATATTTCCACCGGCGGTCGAATATAATGGGCGCTTCTCTGCTAGCGAAGCGGCTTCAATGGGAGATAATTCTACTGGCGATTCGGCTTCTACACTATACCCGTGGTAGGTGTCCTGTTATGTATTGTGCACGTTTCATTTTGAAGATTGACTGCGTGTGTGTGAGAGAGATGGAGTGAGAGCTTGTGCGCGGAAGTTGTTCTCAATATCGATCTCAGCCATGAAGCGTGAATCGCACTTGACAAGATTGCTTTGGGGACTGAAGCCAGTGAAGGAGGACAAAGACTTCCTCGCAGCAGCTCCCGGACAGTTTCAGTGTTTGCTGTTCAACCACCCTCGTCATGAGCTCATTTTCATATCACTTCAGGTTCAACTTCAAGTCCATGTGTTTCATCCATCGAAACGTAGTGTGTGTACGTGTATATATGTGTGTGTATGCGCGCGTGTGTTGTGAACGCGTGTGTGTACGTGTGTGCGTGTGTGTGTGTGTTGACACATTTGAAAATGTCACGATGTGGAGCTAGCTCTTTAGTCTTATCACCTCGAACCCAGGCCTCCCAGTCTCACGCCTAGATCCTTTCTGGCAAAAATCGGGACTTGAGCTCGCCTCTAGCTCTGGCTATGCCGCGCCGGCGCTTGGTCAAGCTCACGTACAGCGCGGCGAACATAATTTTATTATTAATTCTTGTGTATTTTGCGCTGCATCCAGCTACGTACATCTTACTCTAGCTCAGCTACACTGTGGGTAATTATTATTAATATTTGTACGGAACAGTCCAACAGTGACCTGCTTCATGTACTGGGTGTGTTTATCCCCCCCCCCCCCCCACCCTATCTCTATCTCCTTCAACGTGCGCACCTGGTCTGGAGTGTATGAGTGTTTACGCCTGTCTCGCTGGGCACTCCATCATGTGCAAACTCTCTATAGCTATGCACACTTTCTGGGTACTTATTAGATGCAATGTGCCTAAAATGGACAGCATTGTTTTACTGGAGGATATGTCAACGACATGTATAATTACATATGTATGTACATGTACATGTGGCGACGTATCCATCCACGTGATCATCCCACAACCAGGCGGTTGACACCAGGCCGAGGGCTACTGCCTCGTTTCGTCCATTCCTGAACGGAATGTCCTGAGGCTGCACATCATTAAATCCTGCACTGCAGTATCCGGCATTTGGGGTGCCATGGGGTTCGTCAACCATGGACTCCGATCGTATGTACACATGGATGTGCTGTGGTATGTAGGTAGAGGTGTCATAATCTTGACCCGAGCGATGCGGTGCAGGGATACTAAGTCTTGTAGCAGTACTAATACATAATGTAGTATGTCTTCTGCGTGCACACTGGACTTGAAGGGTGCTATCTCCCTTTGCTTGCGTTCTGGAGCATTCTCACTGGAGAGGGCCTGACAGAAGAGGCTTGAATCTCAAGTGTTCCAGTGAAAGTCATTCCAGAAACAGTGCCTTGGTATGCCCGTGCCACTGGAAAATATTGGATTACAATAATTGAGTTTGAATCTGGGTTGCTGTTTTCAATACAATATCGAGTGACAGGAAAGTAAACCTGTGTGGTCTGGCCCTGCACCCGCTGCGTTCAATCACTCTACGCCCCATTCCTCATCTGAGCAGTTGGGACGTCAGCTGGAGTTGAAGCGCGGACCGTCAGGCGGGTGGCATTATGTACCACTCATCAAGATTGCCCTTGCAATAGTTAATGGTCATAACATGCTGCATGGCTGGTGAAAGTCCCACAATACACGATGCCATGCGTCAGTGCTTGATCTCATGAACCAGTTGTCACGTGATCACCTACATGTACAAGTACATTGTACTTCTTCCGCCAGTGCGTCGATGACGTCGCGTTACAACCCGGACAAACCAAACAGAACGCTCAATACTGTGCCGAACTGCTGGCATCAATCCGTGAGAAACCCTTACTTTGGCATTACGTCACACGGAAGACCGAAGCTATGCTGAGTGCGGCCATTTCGTGAACAGTGCACCGGTGCCATGGCACTAGCCATTGGCATTGGGTAGTACATAAAATACTGACGCACTAACGCTCATAACAGGTTCTGAAGAGAGGACAAACAAAACATGGGTAGCCCACGAGGGGATAAACGTTGAAAAATCGCAATGAATAAAATAATCTGTGATCGTGCAAAGACTTTTTAAAAGTCATGTCACACAACCTTGCGTCAACACACATCATCTATGGATCAGTTTGTTTGTTCTCTAGCGTCTAAGAATGTTTTCCTGTGATGGTCATCAGTTAGAGTACGTCACGGAGTGATTAACAAAGAATACTTAAGTTTAGGGGTAAAGTGAATGTACCGAGTCAGAACATTTGTGGTAAACATAGCACTAAAATGTTCAGTGTGATAAGCAAATGTAACTTATAAAGAAAGAGAAAGAGAGAGGGCGAACAAAACAAGCATCCACGTGCCAACTACAGTTACGGTGCTAAAGAAAGAGTGTGAGTGTTGTGACAATATTCCTTTGGTATGCATAGGTCTGGTTTATGCTTATGAATGTAAACAGCTTCTAGGACTTTTAACTGATAGAAATTACATGCGTAACAAACAATATTACTTGTAGCAAAACCAAGAATCATTATACTAGTACGCCAAACGACACGGTTTACTGAACAACAAATGCTTATCACTGCTGACGTCTTCTCATCACCAATCTCTTCATCATCCTCATCCTCCAGGGTATCATCTTCATCATCCACATCCTCATTCACCGGTCAGGGAGGATTTGGCGATGCTGAGGTAACCAACACGTCTCGGTGGAATGGCCGTTCCATCCTTTCACAGCATGATCAGGATAGAGCGCGACGCTTCAAGAGCAATGACAGCCGCCCAGGTTGATGACATTTTGCAACAGAACAACACATCATGGACCAAACAAGCGCAAGAACGTGCTCGGCAAGATGCTATGAGAGCGAAGAAGGATGTTGTCAGCTAACGGGGCACTACAAGCATGGCTGAGTTCCGCCACCTGCGGCATTCGGCATCGGCGGATATGGCACGTCGTTTTTAGAGCAGTTGTTGTTGTTGTTGTTGATTTATATTTTACTTCGCAAGGCCAAACGGGCAATGGTGCCCAATTCTATGGAATCGAATTTCAAAGCGGGAGCTACAGAGAGAGAGAGAGAGAGAGAGAGAGAGAGAGAGAGAGAGAGAGAGAGAGAGAGAGAGACAGAGAGAGAGAGAGAGAGAGAGAGAGAGAGAGAGAGAGACAGAGAGAGAGAGAGAGAGAGAGAGAGAGAGAGAGAGAGAGAGAGAGAGAGAGAGAGAGAGAGAGAGAGAGAGAGAGAGAGAGCAGTGAGGTTAGGAGCATCGGTGCGTGGTGGGCGCATCAACGTGTGGCTGGGGGTAGCAGCGAATAACAAATTGCTGTACAATTAAGTCTGATAAGCGATTTTGCAGCGTCAACGGAGCGATTTTACAGCGTCAACAGAGGGAACAAACAGAGTTCATAGGTGCACAAACATGCAGAGAAGAATACATGACGTTGGGTGTGGACGGGCAAAGTCAGACAGAGCATTTATTGCAAGGTGTAGAGGATGGAGGCAAGCGTAAATTGCTCGGCAGCCTTGATCTCCCTTACGCTCGTTGGGAGTGCATTCCAGGCCAAAGCTGCCTCAAAGGGCAGGCGAGATCTGCCGACTTCTTCTTCTTCTTCTTATTATTATTACTTCGAAGTACTATTATTATTTCTCACGGTGGCCGCTGGCCAATGAGAGAGATGCAATTAATAATAGTGATTACTGAGGCTATGAGGTAACATCAGTTGAAATTATGGAGATACTGATAGTTCAAGAGTTGATCGCTAGGGAGTGTACTTCTGATTGTGCCGAGGGGACAGTGATGCCCCTGGAAACCTGGCGCCGGGTGGTGCTACCAGCGGATGGTGATAATAGATCCTGGAGGACACTGCTGGCTTTCCCGTTGACACAGCGCCACGCCAGGACGAGTCGCTTCTGGTTGTAATACTCGCAAACTCTGTACAGGGACATCCGTTCGAGCAGAGGCTGGGTAGAGGTGTGAGGCGGCAAACCGTACATGTATACCCGGATCTCGCCGCTCGGTTCTGCGGGACCTGAAGCGGAGTGAAGGCGATCAAGCTGCGAAGCCATGAAGAAGGAGGAGAAGGCGTTAGATCCGTATAGGAGGTCAGGTATGATGACGGACCTCACATACTGGATGCGACTACCAATGCAGAGGCATCTGCGGAACCGGCATAGTGCTCCAATCTTCTGCACAACTTTCTTCGCAATCGCGTCAACATGGGGTCCCAATTCACAGCGGCATCCAGGGTCACGCCGAGGTATCTTGTTGTTGGGCTAGGGGGGGGGGGGGGGAGGGGGAGGGGGGGGGGGGCTCTGTCTGGTTGCAGCGGACAGCGAGATGCTGAACCGCATTGCGTTGTGGTACGATTGACAGGACCTGGCTCTTCTTTTCATTAGAAGAAGCATATGTCGATGCTTGAGCCAGTCAGCGCCGTTGGTGACTGCCCCAGCCAGGCAGCCGGATGTGGCTAGCACTGATTCCTTGTGGCAGTGCACGGCAATGTCGTCGGCAAATTGCAGAGATGGAGCAGGATGGGCTATGGCAGGGACATCACGGGTGTAAATGCTAAACAGGATCGGTCCAAGGACAGAGCCCTGAGGTACACCAGATGAGCACTTAGCAGCAACACTGCAGGTGGGGCCAATTCGCACTTGCTGGGTTCGATCGCTTAGGTAGCTGCAGAACCAGCGAAGGGAGGCATTGTCCAGGCCGAGATCAAAATAATAGGTCCCGGGCCAATTGGCAGTGATTGACCTTGTCAAAGGCTTTTGATATATCGATCAGGCCGACGCCTGTGGTCAATGTGTATTCTTGGGCCTTGAAGATGGCATCTATTGCTACAACTAGGGCGTTGTCGTACCGAGGTTTCTCCAGTTAGCTCCATACACAACCTATTAGAGAACACGGATAACATTCGGTCGAAAGGAGATTCCCGGGATGCGGTGGCGTTGCGTGATGACTTTTTTTTTGTATTCTGTAACCAAGAGTACATAACCCCCCGGGTGGGTTATGTACTCTTGGTTATACATGTTTTTTTTTCGATAGTGAGGAAAATGTTATCAACTCCAAAGCACGAAAA